TTCCTGTGGTTTGCGTGTGTTCTGAAAAGAATGCCAAGTGAGGGAACAGCTGCTGCCAGCTGTGAGTTACTTTATTCTGCAGTTTTAAACTCCATGCATTTATAAATTCATGAGACTAATTTTTTTTTACTAGCTGGAATTAAAACTTTAAAGCACAGGTTGAAAAAATAAGTTTTCATTTTATCATTTGTGTGCACTTTGATATGCTTATGAACATACTGATGTGGAAGCTGATGTGTGTGTGTGTGTGTGTGTATGTATGTGTGTGTGTGTGTATATATATATATATATATATATACACACACACATACAATTTAGCTATAAACAGCGTAATATTTTAAAAAAATGAATTTAAATTTCATCTTGGGCATTTGGGTATTTTTTGAGATTAATTGGAATGTGAAGTCATTCTAAATGGTGAGTTTGATTACTCTGAGGTTTATATACTGTCTGAGTGATTTGAAGCTGCAACACAGAACTAATTTATAATCACTAACAATTAGAGCCTAGTGTGGGTATTCTGTGTGTTATCTACAATCTCCACCAAGATTATTCATAGTATATATCTTACTTCCAACTTTTTTCAGAGGAAATTGAAATATTTAGTATCTTTACTTTGATCACACAAGTAGGAGAAAGCTGGGATTCAAACTCCGTATGCTACTCTAATCATAATGTAAATTTTCCCAGGCAAATTTGACATTCACTACAATTCTATTTCATTTCTTTTTAATTTTTTCCCTAGAGGTAGACAGACACAATACCATTTATTTATTTATTCATTTCTATGTGGAACTGAGGACCGAACCCAGTGCCTCACACATGGTAGGCAAACACTACCACTGAGCCACAACTGAAGTCTTATATTTCATTTTTAAATTTTTGTGTGTGTAGTTCTAGATGAGCAGAATGCCCCCCCCTTTTTTTTAATGTGGTGCTGAGGACCCAAACATAGTGCCTCATGCATGCTAGGCAAGCGCTCTGCCACAATCCCTGCCCCTCTATTTCATTTTTTGATAGTGTTTATATATATATATATATATTTTTTTTGATCAGTTATACTCACTAATCAACTTTCACAAGAAAATGCTTGGGTTTTTTTTGGTACCAAGGATTGAACTCAGGGGCATTCGACCACTGAGCCACATCCCCAGCACTATTTTGTATTTTATTTAGAGACAGGGTCTCACTGAGTTTCTAAGCATCTCACTGTTGCTAAGGCTGGCTTTGAACTCACAATCCTCCTGACTCAACTTCCCAAGCCACTAGGATAGAAAATACATGTTTTATCCTACCATGTAACTAAATTTATCATAAAATATCTACTTCAATATCTACTTTGTCTGAAAAAAAAAATAATCAGAAGCTCATTTAAAAGCAAAAATGTTATAGGGAATTATCTAAAACAAAGCTTCTCAAACTTTAATGTGCTTATAAATCACTGCAGATTTCTCATTCAATAGATGAGGTGAGGCATGCAATTCTATATTTCTAACAAATGTTCAGGTATTTTAATAATAGTTTTCACTTATTCTGGGCAGTTTAAATAAATTGATATATAACTCTAAATATATCCTGAATCAGATCCATATCTAAGAATAATATTCATAGGCATTTATGAGCACATTCAAGTTTGAGAAGCACAGTTCTATAAAATTCCCCATCAAAATCCTCTAAACAGAGACAGGATGTAGTTTGGAGATTGGGGCAGTCTTTGACCATAGTGCATTTGATTAGCAGTTCTGAATCCCATTATAATTAAGTCCTAATGACTCACAAAATTACTGGAGCTTCTCTAAATGAAGTAAAAGGGGAAAACAAAATGCCTAAGTGACAATCAACTTAAAAAGAAATCTAATACAAGCACTGGAGTTGTGGCTCAGTGGTAAAGCCCTTGCCTAGTACATATGAGGCACTGGGTTTGATTCTAGCAATACATGGAATAGGAAGGGCAAGAAGGTATTTCCCCATTCCTCATGATATCCTAAATTCTATTAAACTAAACCAGCAGGAGCTGAACACCAAGCTGATATTGTTTCCATTCCTCTTCCACCACAACAATCCATATTCCCCAAACTTCCCTATAAAGGTGTTTTCACCAAATTCTGCTTTATGTGATTACATTAGGGTCAATATTTAGCATATATTACTGAATTTCGAGAAAGCATATTTTGAGCACATCATTCATTACATTTATTTTACTGTACTTTCTTCATAAGCATTCACATGGTTAACTTTTCTGGTTTGCTTTTATTTCATGGAAAAACTCTGAATCAAGTGACTAATCACTGTGTCCTCTTTTATTAGCCGTTGAAGTGTGCACAGCTAAATTTGTGGCCTAGTTATTACAAACATCTAATATGCCAAATTAGGAACTTTAACTAAATCTTAATTTGTTCTTTTCTATTCTCTTTTCCATAACACCTGATGTTCTTGCTTACAGATTCATGCTGTACATATTTTATAAGCTATCATAAAGTCTTTTAGAAAGAATCAAATGAATGCTTTAACGATGTAGTAAATAAAGTTATTAACATCTATAATTCATTAACCCCTGTTTTAGTCAGCCTTTTCACTGCTGTGACTAAAGGACCCAACCAACACAATTGCATGGGAAGAAAAAGTTTATTTAAGGCCAATGATTTCAGAGCTCTTAGTCCATAGAAGGCCAGCTCCATTCCTTGGGTGAAGCAGAACATCTTGGTGGAAGAGTGTGGCAGAGGGAAGCAGCTCACATAGAGATAAAGAAGCAGAGAGAGAGGTCTCCACTCGCCAGATACAAATATATACCACAAAGCCACGCCCCAGTTCCCACCTCCACCAGCCACACCCTACCACTTCAATTACCACTCAATTAATCCCTGCCAGGGGATTCATTCACTATTTGGGTTAAAACTCTTATAACCAATTATATCTCCTCTGAACCTTCTTGCATTGTCTTATGCGTGAGCTTTTGGGGACACCTCACATCCAAACTATAACAAGCCCTTGCTACTGCAATACAGTCATACTATCCCAAGCCTTTTCATGCATGGTTATCTACTTTTGACTGGTCATAGCTATGTGTTTTCTTTGTGTACTTTTGATTTTTAGTAGAAGAAGCAGTGAAAATCTTTTAAAAAAATTTTTGTAATCCAAAAATAGCACTTTGACGACATATAACAAAAGGGGGGAAAAAAAGGTGGCAGGGAGAAGGGTGTAAAAACATACCACTGCAAGGAATTTACTTTAAAGAAAGTAAGAATAGCCCCCAAACAATTAATTACAATATAGCATGCCATGTTCTGTTAAGAAATTGTTCTACTGTCAAAATATACAACAATGAGTTATATTCATTAATGAAATGATGCTACATTGATTCAATGTTCAAAAGAATATACTAGTATGGAAAGATGTTCAGAAAATATTTTTGAAAGAAAAACTAAGGTTATAAAGTATTATCTTAGTAAACATGGTTGATTTTCTCCTTACTTTAGGCTCATCTGAGTTTTCTTCCAAATATATGTATTGCCTGTTTCCTAGCACAGTCTTGTTCATTTGCTTTTTGAAGCTTTGCAGTCATTCGCATGGATGGGATTTTTTTAGTTAAACACAACTGATGTAGCTTAGTTTGATATGATTGATATAATTTTGATGTCATATTTTAAAATATTTATTCTTTCAGGGATTAATCATACTACATAAGCAACATCTGTACCAACTAAAAAATAGTTAGCATATGATACTTTTTTGTCATGACAGAGCCACTGGTTAGACAAAAATAAAACTTGCTCAAATGGTAAAAAAAAAAAAAAAGAAGAAGAAGAAAGGAAAAAACCCAATATGTAATGCAAGCATAATTTAATTTACAAAAAAAGAATATTTTAACATATTAAAAAGAACAAACATTAAAAAGCTTTAGAGAATGGTCATAAATAGGTGGTAACAGGCATAATAACAGATAAAGAAGCATAAAAAGACTTGAAATTAATTAGAAGTTAAAAGTTATACTGCATGTTTGGTTGAAGAATAAAACTGAATCAGAAAAGGAATCAATCATTGAAGACTCAAGTCCTGGATCTTGAAACATTTCCTTACTGGTATGATTTCCATTGTTTGAAAATTTCCTAAGACAACCACTGTGTGGTCTCCCATTTATTTCTAACCAGGTCTCACTATTTGTGACCTATTCTTCATTAGTAGGAACTCCTAAATCCTAAGTGTTTGCAAAACACTCGGAAATGCTTTGCATTTGTAGACTTGGTCCTTCCAAGCAGCCACTGCAACATGCCTCGCCTGTAATCCAAAAGGGGGCCTTCTAGTGAGTGTGAAGGACCCTGGAAGAGGAAAAACAGAAACCAACAAGAGAGCTGCCTGACAAAATGAGAATGGTCACTGATTCCGGAGAAGAGAAATGGGGAGAAAAGTTCATTTCAAACAGACTATATGTCTTTTTCATCAATAAAATTATAAGGGGAAAATATATACAACAACCCTAAACCCATACTTTCTCCCTTTTCCTCTTCCCATTATATCATCATGGCTATGCTTTTTACTAATTTTGCTGTGTGTGTGTGTGTGTGTGTGTGTCCCCTTGTCTTTCCCCATTCTCTTCCATCAATTTCAACTACTTCTGTCATTACTACTTCTGCTACAAGTCCACAGTTCCTTATCTGAAACTTTAAAATTTAAGAAGCACTAAAAACCAAGACATTTTTTGTTAAAACATATGAAGGCAAAACAACTCACCTCGATTTTGGTGGCAAAACCTGAAGTGAATCAGTTACACAAGGCCAAGATCTCACACTTAGTGAGAATATTCACATGCTTTACTGCAGATATTAACCGGTTTGATTATAGGTTTGATTGAAGATCTACTTACCTTTTTACCCTTCCAAAATTCAAAATTTCCTGAATTCCTAAAAATGGGTGGCCCCAAGAGTTTTGGTTCAAATAAAGGCTTATGGATCTCTACAACTACAATAAACTACAACTATTACTATTGCTACTGCTTGTGATACAAAACTTTTCATAATGAGTAGCATTCTATTTGTTATTCCAAATCATGTTAACATCTCATTAGCCTAAAGGTACATAACCAAAAAAATAAAAAATAAAAATCTTTCACCTAATTCATCTATTGTTTAATGAACATACACGATTTAGACTCCTTTAAAAAAAAATTCTGGTAACAGGAATCAAACCCAGGGCCTCCCTCAAGCTAGGCAAGCATTCTACTACTGACCCATACTCCTATCCCTTGAATACACAACTTTCAAAATATTTTTCTGAACATTAAATAAAGCAAATTACAGCCAATCCAACTCAACATAATATTAACAGTCATAACAATTTCCAAATTCTGTGGCTATAACCCTGGCCATCAGCACTTTCTATATCTACTTATTATTACTATTAGAGCTTTCATTCATATTCAACATCCATGTCTGATGCACTTTGTTTGATGAAAACAAGTTAATTAGTGCTAAACCTTCCCTAGTTCATAAATTTATTCTAAGAACATTAAAAGGAAGTCAAGTGAGACATGTTCAGTAACAGATGTTTGCCTTTTTTGGCTGCCTTTTTACAGTTTGTTCTCTTTCATTACTTTTTAAGAAATTTAGTTAATGTTCCCTTCACTGGAGAACAAGTGTACCTAACTTCCAGGAGGGTGAGGGGTCCCTAGGGCAAACACAGTCTGTTCATTCCCTAACCTAATACCTGTTCAAATGCTCTCTAAACTCAGCTTTTCATGTTTCATGTCTTAGATTTTGGAAACACATTGACTGGCTACTTAGAACTATTATCAACATGATTACTAAGGCTTGTGGGCTTCCTGATCCTCCAGTGTCTCTCCCACCTGAGGACATCTTAGAACAGAGGCGCAGATGTGACTGAGAGAACTGGATTGAATCTTTTGGCTTCTACAGAAAAAGAAAGGGTGGGAAGTAATTCCCAAAAGTAAAAATCCAATAATAATAATAAAATTTATTTTCTTTCATAATAAAAGAAATGGAAAACACATACTAAGATTTTTTTCTCTAAGAAATTAAATAGATCCCAAGGTACAAATTTAAATTTATCCTAGTTTACTTAACTCTCTGCATTTGAAAATAATTTACTGTGGGTATATTGATGTGGCTACAGGGTGGTACACTGGTAAATCCAAGTAATACTACAATTCAGGTCTTACATTTGCCAAGAGTGCTCTCTTAAAACTTTGCGAGAACAGTTGAATACATGCCTTGACCTATTTACTGCTAAAGGAATTTTGCATGGAGTACATTCCTTATTTTCCCCAATAAGCATCTTCCTAACTAGAATGATAGAAAGAAAGGTTACCTAGAAAGAAAGATTCAATACAATAAATAAATATAGTTACAGAAATACACTTCGGGCCCAGTTAATACTGTTACAAGACAACATGACCACTGAAACAACTATGTAAATTAAATATATATTTTTCCAAAGTAAATATCTGCCAATATTTCATAAATATTAAAATCTTTGAGACTTCATAGGAAAAGAAATATGCATTTAAAATTAAAATTTGAAGTTTGATGATAAAACACAGCACCAGACATCACTATTTCTTATTAGAGGACCAAAACAAATTTTTAAAAGTAGGTCAGAATAAAGTGCTGGAATACTGTTCAAAATATATTTTTTTAAAGTTACTTAACCATTAACTCAGGACCTAAGTTAGTCCTATGCCTACACAGTATTTTCAAAAAGTAATGTTTAACTAAAATAATTTTTAAAAATTAGAAAAACATTTGAACCAATAGACAAAATTTAGTAGCTATGATGATTGGTGCTAATTCATTGAAATATCAGAAGTTGACCATCTTTTATCAAATATAATCCAATAGTGGAGAAAAATCAAGAGTATAAAAATAATAACAATACCTTTTCAAATGTTTTTGAGGAGGAAAGAAAAAGAACAGAGCTAAGACAATGTAATGTGGGAGAAAGAAATGAGAAAATGTTTAAAATAAAAGGGTATTTACTATTTTTCATTATGTAACAAAATCTTTCAACTTTATTCAGTCTTCTGATAGTACACTTTGGTAAAGCATTATAAAAAATAAATATATAACTTGAAATTTTCAAGTTAAAAGAAAAAGATATTCTTAGATTCTTATGATACTTGTTTTTACTGAAATGGCTTAAGAACATTCTCCAAAGAAAAAAAAATGATAAAATTCTTTTGTTAAAATCTAGGCAACTCATTCAATGGTTAAAATTAACCTGATATGAACAATTTAAGTTACATTTGAAACTTTTTTCTCATCTTTAAAAATGTTTCTACAAAATACTATTATTTGTGTGAGGTGAAAATGTATTTTAATAAAAAATATAAATAGCAAAGCTTTTTTCTCCTCCCCTTTCATTAAGCTTGATCCTTGGAAGGTTGAGGGAGAAGACTGGGAATCCTTAAGTCCAGAAGGCCCACAATGTGCTCTTTGAAATAGAAAACAATTTATGATCAACCAATTATGAGACCAAGTTCTATTTGTTTGTAATCTTCTATTTCCATGAATCAAGGTTAGGCAAATAATTTTTTCAATTGAGGGTTAAGAAGCTAAAGTGAGTGAATGGCTCCCTCCTGTCCTAAGGCATAGAGTCACTGTGGGAACCCTTGATGATTGGTCCTTGCTGATCTCAGTTTCATCACTTGTCACTTTTCCTCTTGCAGTCTGTGCTTTGGACACACTGAACACTCAATTCCTAAGGCACCTCATTTCCCACCTCTTTGTGCTGCTGGAACTTTTATACCAGGGATGGAACCCAGGGGCGCTTAAATACTGAGCCACACCCCCAGTCCCTTTTCATATTTTATTTAGAGATGGGGTCTCACGGAGTTGTTCAGGTTCTTGCTAAATTGCTGAGGCTGATTTTAAACTCAAGATTCTGCCTCAGCCTCTCCGGCTGCTGGGATTACAGGTGTGCATCTCTGAGCCCAGCACTGTTGGAACTCTTTTTTCCTCCACCTGGCCACCCCTGCACCCTGTCATCGCCACAACACGCATGTGTGCCTGGATGGCCGGTTGCTTTTCACCTCATTCTCACTCTAGGGTATCACCAAATGGCACAGTCCCTTTCCTGAGCCCTATGGCCTCTGCAGCATTGTTAGCCACTCCTGGAGAAGAGACTTGCCTTATGACAACTAACGAATAAGCTATTTCATTCCCGTCTCTGTTTCCAAATATTAGCTAGAAATTAACTACTTACACAAGTCTCTCTCAATATTGGCTTTAACCAATTTTTAAGAATATTGATAAATGCATTACTTTTCCATCTCAGAATATTGACAAATACAAAGTTGTTGTTGTTGTTTTAGCTGCAACTATAGTCCTCCAGGCTGTGTGTTCCAAGATTGCTTCATTCATTATCATAAAGTTAGTAAACCTTTTTTTAAAGAAGAGTTATGACATGAAATTGCACGAAGAAAGTTGGAGCTGGTGGCCTTTCCTTTCTGATTGTAATGGAATATTACATTTTTATGTTGCATGAGGTATTGTATTCATAGGTCTCATTTACCTTAGATAAATATTATCTTTCAAGATAATTAATGCTATAAATATCTCAGTACTGCAGAGGCCATAAAATGTAACATTAGTTACTATTTCTTCAGGATGCTTGGATTTGTTTTTTTAAACTTCATATGTACAGTTGCTTAAAATAATTGGAAGTTCTAACACAATAAGCCTGTGGTTGGAGAAATGGAACTTTAAAACACAAAGACATGTAGTACTATTGAATTATTATTTAATTAGAACTAAAAAAAACAAGGATACCAAGTATACTTTAAAAAACACTTCAGGCATAAAAGGGCTAGTATTCCTTTGCCCAAAGAAGATATATTCATAGTAGTTTTCTTATTTGAGCAAATTAAGGTTTTGATATAAACAGCTGAACTATAAAGCATGTTTCAAAGCAGAATGTGTTATATTTATCTTTCTTCCAATAAAAGACTGAGTTTCCTGAATCCTTGTTCCCACTTGCCTTTTAACAATGCAGGTTTCACTATTCTCAGCTTTCCCATTACCTGTGTTCTGAACTGATAAACTCCGATCAGGAAGACTTAGTACTTCACACACATTAGGATATAAAACACAGGAAGATTCAACAAGTGTTTGTGAGGATGCGGAGAGGCCAGAACCCTTGAGCAATGCTAATAGGAATATAAAATGGTGTAGCCACTATAGAAAACAGTATGCTTCCCCACATATTAAATAGAGAAATAGCCTATGACCCCAAATTCTAATTCTGGGTACAAACCCACCAGATGTGAAAGCAGAGACTCAATACTTTCACAACTCATGTTCATGGCAGCATTCTTCAAAATACTAAAAGGGTGGAAGAAACCCACATGTCCACTGATGGAGGAGTGGGTAAATGAAATGGGGTATATACCAAAAATGCAATATTATTCAGCATTAAACAGGAAGTTAGTTCTGACAGGATACACCTGAAGGAGCCTGTATGACATTCTACTAAGTGAGAATAACCAGTCACAAAAGAACAAATATGATTCTGCTTACTTGAGATACCAAGAGTAGTCAATTTCATAAAAACAGAAAGTAGAATGGTGGCTGCCAGGAGATCAGGGGAGAGATTAATAGAGAATGAGTGTTTAACAGGTATGGAGTTTTAGTTTGAAAGATGAAAACTTCAGGAGATGGATGGTAGTGACAGTTACATAGTGATGTGGGTGAGGTTAATACCACTGAACTGCATACTTAAGAAGAGTTAAAACAGTAAATTTTAATGCTCTATATATTTTACTTATTTCAATTTAAGTTTTAAATATTTTTATAACTTTCATTATCTAAAAAGTGAAACATACACACACAATTTAGAACCTGATGTTTGACCCCTTCTGGGAGTGCCAGATTTTTAAGGATAAGTAAAGGGGGATACTCACTGAAGGAAGCCATTTATTTAGACTAATAGTGAAAATGCAAATGCAGGGAGCAGTACAAACAAAATTGAAAGACTGAATCTCATGCCTCTTATTAATTCGCCACACCCATGCACATATACTTGGTACAAAAGGTAAGATACAGCCTGAATTACCTCTAACTAGACTCAATACTAAAGGTCCATTATTGTTCCTCGGAGCTCCACTCTTGTATACCTCCAACACTGTAGACAGGTGCACTATCCCAAAATACTACGTACTGGGTCAAAGCCAGGGTCAGCAGTCTCTTATCTCCTAGTTTCCCTTTTCATTCAGCAATGAATAAACACTCTTAAGTCTTGCATTTGGGATTTTCCACTATCAACTATACCCTTGGCAGAAATATTCCTCACAAAATGATTCATGAACTTCTCCACGCAACTGGAGCACTTTCTAAATCAGGGCAGGGAAGTTAGAAGCTGAGGTTCATTCATTGTTTCAACTTCCCTAGAATGTAAAAAGTTTCCTATGGATATTACTTTTGATAAGAATATGCACACATTACAAATATATATTCCATTAGCCAATGACAACAGACGGACATTGTGATTAACAAGTATGTTCTAAAAACAGAGGATTAATAAATATGTTCCAAAATAGTGAATCACAATGACTATTAACATTTCAGGAAATACAATGTTCATATAATTTCCTTATCTAAATGGGTTGTAAAATTTAGTTTTAATAAATTTGATGTAGAAATAATTTAGAAAAATAAGCTAATTAATGACATAATTTTAAAGTAGTGGTTGCACAAGAAAAATATAAAATTCAACTTTTATATTTTAACATGACATATTAAGAACTACAGAATAGGGGAATTTTTAAATATATTTCATTTGTTTAATGTGTTAGGGATCAAAGTGTATCTTCCAAAAATTCATACAGTAAAGTTCTAATTCTCAACGTGACCATATTTGGAAAAAAGGCCTTTAAGGAACTAATTCGGGTTAAATAAAGTCATAAGGATGGGGTTCTAACCCAGTATGACCAATGTCCTTATGAGCGAGAGACATCAGGGATGCAGGCTCACAGAGGAAGGGCCACACAGGACATAGTGACAGGAAAGGCCACACAGGACACAGTGAGAAGGCAGCTGTCTACAAGCCAATGAGAGAGATCTCAGGAGAGCCAACCCTGCCAGCACCTGATCTTGGACTTCCGGCATCCAGATCTGTCAGAAAATTTTGTTGTTTTTGTTTAATCAGCCCAATGGGTGGCAATTTATTATGGCAACAAATGGCAAGTCAATTAAAAAAAACAGTTTTATGAACAGAAAAAGATAAGGGATGAGACAAATTCATACACAGAATAGAACATGTGGGAGATATAAGAAACCCAAACATATATGCAGATAATATAAGAGGACATGTTATAAAAATGCTATTTTAAGGTCTTTTTAAGAAATTGTTGATGTGGCCTGGGTTGTGGCGCAGTGGTAGAGCATGTGTGAGGCACTGGTTTGATTCTCCATACTGCATATAAATAAATAAAAATAAAGGCCCATCAACAACTAAAAAATGTTGAAAAGAAGAAATTGTTGATAAAGATGTCTGATTCACATGAATTTCTCTTAATATTTGCATAGTGACATCTTAGAACTTGCCGTAGTGAACAGATGAACTTAAATGAAGCCCCCACATTCAGGTCACAGGTTCCCATGTCCTAGATTAGAATCCACATTCCAAAAATCATTAGTAAGTGGTCGTGAATTACTTTAGGAATTTTTTAAAAAATCCTTCAATTATCATGTGGTTAGCAGAATGTCTTCTTTCTCCATTGGCTTCCATGATACTTTTGTGATAGTCTATATACCAAAACAAAACTAGTTACTGCACAACTAGAGAAATGAAAAGTTGTGCTACAATTGTGTCCAATGAATCAAATACATTCTGCTGTCATATTTACCTAAACAAAATAAATAAACACATTTAAAAAATTCAACAACCATTATCAATAAAAATAATAAAGAAAAAAAACTAGTTGATGAACTATTACATTTGGGGCAAGTCATGTGATGATCACTTTGATCACTAGTGCTTGCCATAAAAGAAATTATATGTGCATCTATAAATGAATTAAGATTTATACAAAACACAATAACAGCATTAATTTCAACAGAGAAATTATCTTAGGAATAAAATAGCTCCATAATAAATACTCATCAAGATTAACTCAACAATTTGATGAGGGGAAAATGATAACTCAACTCTACATCCAGTTTTATAAACACTTACAGTGAAATAGCCCCGAAATACTGCTGATGGTCCAGAGAGACTCTTATCAGGCTCTTGAGGAAACTGGAAAGACTTTGTAGTCACAACTCCTCTCCAATCATACACTGTTTTGCCTGTTAGGTGAATCCATGTATGTTAACAATATTTATCCAGGAAAAGCACAGACTGATCATACTGCTTAATGTTACAAAGAGGAAAGCAAATCATCCTTATGGGCTCACTATTCTGTGTTCAAATCACACCTTGTCATCTAATGGGAGAGATGAAGAAGGGACAGCATTGCATAGAGAGGTTTCAATTAATTGGCTCCTTCACAGAGTAAAGCTCTCATGTTTTTATTGCATGCAGTGTGCCCAGGAGAAAAGTAATAGGTCCATTCTCTTCATTCCTCTTCAAAAATATTGATTTTTTTAAAAAAGGATTAAAGCAAAATCTTATTTGTGAATAGCACTTATAAATATAGAATGAAAAGTTCTCTGTTATGTAAGTACTTTAAAAGAGAATTTGGAATTACTGTGAAGGCACAAGTTATGAAACTGCAAAGTAAATGAAATTATTAAACACGTTTAAGGTAAATAACTTGAAAGAGCAAAAGTCAGCCAGCAGATACCCACAGATTTCTTCCGTCTCCTGGAAGTTGTTTGGTGGGATTTCTTTAGTAACCTTTTTTTTTAAAATTATTATTTTTTAGCAATGGGGAGATTTAGTTGTCCATTTATTTCTAAGAAATACTAAAATTTTTAAAAGGCAAAAATGAGTTTAATACTGCTTTACAAATGAATTAAACTATTTTCACATTTCCAATCTTCCTTTTAATATTTAATCATCGACATATATTCTTTCCTGAAACTTTCAATTTAATAGTTACACATGGACTGCTTAAATTTTGTAGAAATTTAGAGACCACTCAAAAGTAATTATCTCACTTGATTGCTTTTATTCATTGAATGGATCTTATGTTGAGTGTTGTTTAGGGAGGCAAAGACATAACATGAAATAATAAAAGAGTCCATGTTAACTCAGAGACATCCTAGTAAATACACATCCTAAGACATTTTAATTTTCTATATACTGTTTCCATTCACTCAAGAGTCCCTGTCCTCTATCAAAAAAGGCAAAATCTCTAGAAAAGTAACACAGTAAATCATATATTTCAAACACAACTCAAAGTAAGTGAAATTCTTTCATAACAAGGAACTTGCAGAAAACCTGAGAATATTAGTATCTATGAAGATGCCATCAAGGGAAAGAACATGCACTTTACAATTGGGAACCTTCAAGAGACTACGGGAATATGAAGGGAAAACACTGGAGTTTATTAGAGGTCTACAGCCCTCACATTTTTCATGAAACTTTTTTGACTCATTCAAAGCCTTCTCCAGCTCCCAAGCAGTATTCCTGATCTCCCTACTTCCCTTAATGAACTTCTACAATAAGTGATCTCACGTATTTTCAGATAACCACAATACACTTTCCAATCTCCTTTTTAATTCTGAAACTCTGTTGGGGTGAGGACAATATCTGACTTGGAGTGGTTTTGTGTTTCTGACTCATTAGTAATCTGAGTAGCTATGTAAATAAACACTGGGGAATAAGAATTGCTCCAAAGAGGTTAAATCTCACAGGCAAATAGGGGAATCTTTCTGATCACTAAAAAGCCAAGCCCAGTATGAAACTAAAAACTATATAACTTATTTCTACAAGAGAGCCCAGAGCATTTTCAAATATTTTATCTTGTTTACCCACAAAACAGACTCATGCAGCTGAGAAGGCCAGGCATTATTTTCTCCAGTCTATAGGTATCACACTAGAAAATATAGCTATAACTTTTCCACTTCAGGAAGCAGTAAAGCCTCCACTAAAATCCTCAAGGTAATCATTCACACGCTGATGTATGCTAATGATTCTTCCTCAGAAGCCAGGCACACAAGGTGACATGCAACAAATTCCGGTTTATTCCACAAAGTCATTCAA